CAGCCGTGCTTCCAGTCGACCTCTCGCCACCGGTCTTCTTCCCCGTGTCCCGGGATCGCCTGGGCTCCTCTTCATCGATCTCCATGCGATCCTCCTCCATCGGTATCTCCTCTTCTCCATCCGAGCCGTCTCCCGCAAGCTCTTGGAAGCGCACCGCGGGGCCCTGGCGAGAAGGACCGGGTGTTGCATGCGTTGGGCCGGGTGCCACATGAAAGCCGGCCGGCGCGTCGGGATTGTACCAATCGCAATCCGGCAGGCGCTCATCGTCCGGACTGATGTTGGACAAGCGAACCGGGACGCCGATGGCATCGACGACGTTGATCTCTACAATGGCAGAGAGCAGCAGCAAGGGAACCAGAGGAGGTTCCCCCACCGAGTCGCAGAGCGTGATCTGCTCCATGACATCGCGCTAATACACCCGGTAAGCATCCTCCGTTTGATGAGCTGCATGCATTACTTACCAGGAGTGCCTGCAGCTCGTCGAGCTGCCGACTTGATGTCAATAACCCGGAGAAGTGAGATGGCGCGAACACTCACTATTTCCTCCAGTTTTTTCTCCTCCTCATCCTCATACACCAAGCGCCCTCCGAGCATCTCGAGCAGGCGGTTGTTTGCATCGTGGAGGTAGGCGGCTATTTGCTCCGGCGACATTGCGGTCCTCGGAGGAACGTCGTTGTTGGCCGGTGGGGCGGCGGCGGTGGCAGCGTCGGTCGACATGGCTTGGTAGGGCAAATGCGAAGCAGAGTTACGGAAGCGAGGGGGGAGGGCGTGCTGAGAGCTTGCAGGCGAGGTGATGAGAGCAGGAGACAAGCGACGCGAAGCCACACCGATCGCGAAGTCCAACGTGGCTGGTCACGTGCACCCGGCGGGCCGCGGGATGTTTAGCCGAACATGAACATCGTGATGGCGCGTCGCGCCGTTCTTCCCATCCGTCCTCTATCATCTTTCTTCACATTTCTTCGCGCTACACTCATGTCTGCTCAAGGTAGGTCTCAGCACGCATCTCCGGATCATCGCTGACTTCTCCGGCCAGATTCTACCACTCCACTCGCATCCGGCGAGCCACATGTGGCCGCGGCGAAGCGACCGGCGTCTCAGGAGCGGGTGGCTGTCGAGCCTCAGGTAAGCCAATATTACCTACGAGGATTTGGTTCCTAACACTACTATTCCATGTCTGCATGCAGGCTCCAATTGTCGGTGCCGGGGATGCGAAGGTCGGAAAGTACCTGGTGCGGCCGGGAGGCTTCAATGTGCCGATGAAGCGTAAGGGCTCGCATGCCCCGCAAGAGAAGGTACGTGCATTCTTTGTCTTACTGTTACACCATAACGCTGAGCGTCGAGTACGCAGGAGCGATCTCCATCGGTCCGGCGCAACACGCATCCTGCGGATGCCGACGAATCATCTGAGGCCCCGGTGAAGCGTCTCAAAGCTTCGGTAAGTGCTCAGACTACGTTCCGTGTGCACATAACGCGTGTTGACCACGACGATGGACAAGTTGACCACCACACAAGCGGGCCCCACGCATGCAGATAAGATTGGTGCGGGCATCTCGGAGGCACTGCCGGGTCCGGACACCATAAATGCGGCAAGGGAGGTAAGTACTGTTCACACTCCCATTGCCCATGTTTGCGGTTTTCGCTCTAATCACTTCGATGTACCACCCTGTAGGAAAATCAGCAACCGGCACAAGTGGCTCCCGGGACCACGATCAAGCTCGGAACATTTGGTGTTCCCTTCAAAAGAATGCCGAAGGTATGTCTTGCACACTGCGTGGGCTGTTCGACGCTTACGAGACTTTGTATTCGCGTTCAAAAAGATGCCAGGGATATCGGCCATACTGGGCAGGTTAAGCCAGCTGCCCTTGTAGCACATCCGGCCGCATCCGGCGATCCCGAGGTAGCAACGCCTGAGCCGGAGGTTGCTATCGTAAGCCACACCAAGCCGGCCGGGAGAAGCACACGCAAGAACACTGACGTGGAGGTCGTGGACGAGGGGAGCCAAAATATTGCAGAGAGTGCCAACCGCAAGTCCGCGCCCCCTGTCCCCGTGGCTACTAAGCCTCGCCCACGCCCGCGCATATTGAAGGACCCTCGGCCCGATCCGTTTGGCCCAGCCATGGTGGGTCAGGACAAAGCCGCTAAGCCCGTCGGCCTGGCGGTGCGATTCCGGTCTCAGGGTGAGGGATCAGGCCACCACGTCGGGGCTGATGCCACGGTTGAGGATGACCGGGTGTCGCACCACAATGCAGCTGAGTATGGCGGGGCTCCGGATCAGAGCCATCTTGAGGGCAACAAGGTCATGGCTTCTGTAGGTGCTCATGCCATCCTGTCCCATATATACTCATCGTTAGCCTCAGCCTTCGGAGATTACGCAGGTCGTGCTGAACAGGACTGAGCACGGTGAGTGTTGTTTGTAGTTACAGTTCCACACTGCCTGGTTCTCGGCACTGCCCCGAGTGTCATGTGCGTGACTCCAGCCGACGCTCGTATACACGCCTGCTCAGCGGCGTCGGCTCGGGCATGCATCCGGACTGTATGACCACCAGGTGTCAAGTCTGATGACGCCGTGTTTATAGCGTACCGAGTACACGACGAGACCATGTTGCTCGGCAGGGAAGAAGACCCGTTTTTCACGTTTTCGGTGACAATGACTGATCGTCACGATCCCGAAAATCATTTGTGGGAGGCAGACAGTCACCCTGATGTGGACTGGCCGCCAAATTGTATTGTCATGTTTTCCAAGGCTTGATTACCTGATTCGCTGACATATCCGTACTCAGTTCCCGGACCAGCCTTCACTGGTGCCACACCGACACGAGTCGCCGAGCTCCAGGCGGAGAAGGCAATCATCATGGCTCGCATTGACGCGCTTACCGCGCTTCAAGCAGCCAACAATCGTAATCACCGCGCCGTTGACTGGGTAACGGAGTACTATCAGGCGCGGGGTCGGTCGGGGTAACGGGCATAGTTATAATGTGTGTAGTAAATCGTTGGAATGATCTGAATGCTATACTGGTCCCTCACACTGAAGTCGCCGAATGATATTTATCACGGATGGGCACTGAATATAAATGGTAAAACGGTCGGTGAGTCACAGGCCGGACCGTCGAAACGTCGGGCCGAGCCTACCCAGGCAGCCCTGGGGTAGGTACTGCAGGCCGTATGCAACGCCGGCCGGACCGTCAAAACGTCGGGCCGAGCCTACCCAGGCAGCCCTGGGTAGGTACTGCAGGCCATATGCAACGCCGGCCGGACCGTCGAAACGTCGGGCCGAGCCTACCCAGGCAGCCCTGGGTAGGTACTGCAGGCCGTATGCAACGCCGGCCGGACCGTCGAAACGTCGGGCCGAGCCTACCCAGGCAGCCCTGGGGTAGGTACTGCAGGCCGTATGCAACGCCGGCCGGACCGTCAAAACGTCGGGCCGAGCCTACCCAGGCAGCCCTGGGTAGGTACTGCAGGCCATATGCAACGCCGGCCGGACCGTCGAAACGTCGGGCCGAGCCTACCCAGGCAGCCCTGGGTAGGTACTGCAGGCCATATGCAACGCCGGCCGGACCGTCGAAACGTCGGGCCGAGCCTACCCAGGCAGCCCTGGGTAGGTACTGCAGGCCGTATGCAACGCCGGCCGGACCGTCGAAACGTCGGGCCGAGCCTACCCAGGCAGCCCTGGGTAGGTACTGCAGGCCGTATGCAACGCCGGCCGGACCGTCGAAACGTCGGGCCGAGCCCACCTACCGAGCCCCGGGTACGGCCGACAGGTTACATCAATCGCCGGCCGGAACGTCTCAGCAGTACTGGAACTGGCATTCTGAGATACCGGCCACCACGTCTGGTAGGCATTCATGGTTGACAGGCCGTCACGCTTTGAGTGGTTGTGCTCACTCGCCGGCCGGAGCGTCTCAGTCGAACAATGTTAATGGACGGCCGAGCCTACCCAGACGTGTGGGGGAAACCCATGCATCCTGGCCACCACACCGCCCATGGCATCCGTTCAGCGTCGGCCGCCACGTTCCCAGCATTCCACGGTGCCACCGGCCGGAACGCTTGCATCGACCGACTGCTCGCTCCGGTCGGCCTCCGGGCCAACGTTCCAGACGGCCAAATCTCACTCCGGGTTTACCGTTGGTAACGGGTTAGACACACTAAATAATGTGGGGCCCCCACCTATTCACCAGCTCTCCCGGACGGCCATTTGCACGCCCGTTTCACCGCTGATCACCCGCCCATCCGTTCGTTGACTAGCGCACCTGTTCATCCGTTCGCTCGCCCGCCGACCCATGGACCACCATCACTAGCTCAACTGCCCGCACCCATCAACTTGCCGCCTATTCACTCATTCACCTGGAGACACATTCACTCGCGTGCCCACACACCTATTCGCCGCTTTCCCGCATGTTCATTTGCGTGCCCGTTCCACCGCTGATCCCCTACGCCCGCCGCCGTTCTCCGTGCACGTTCATAATCTCCCTCCGAGTAGGCCGCATTCCCTGCGCACGTCGGGTCCTGTAGCCTGCAGACCCCGATTTAACACGCTCGTTCAGTGTGACGGTGAGTTCGTCATCATCTTGCACTGGACAGTTGGATTGACATTGGGCGGAAGGCTACGGTGTGCACCTGCATGAACCTTAGGTGAGGCAATATGTATATCTGTGCTACGAGCGGGACCTCTAATCACTGCGTATCGATAGCGATCGCGAAGCTGAGCGACTACAAGTCGCGCGCACGAATTCTCCTCGACCCAGAGAGAGCAGTCCGGAGACGTGGGTGGATGAGGTCGAGGATGTGAGGTCGGATGAGAGTCCACGAAGGAACGGGTCATGTTTGGTATGGATGGGATCGAGAAGGACAGGTGGAATGTGGTGCGTGGTAACCTTGTCCAATTGGAATGACGGTTGACTGACTTGCGAGCAACAGGAATGCTCTCCATGCACTAATGACGCCATACAAGGGTCATGGTGCCCCGACTCAATGCACCGAGTCCTGCAGAGGCTCTGCGCCGGATGGCGAATTCAGAGTGCAGAGAGGGTGTGCCCTCTGCCCTGCTGACGGCTGTCGCCCGACTGGCCTTCACCGCATCACAGCCCCATCGTCGCCGACTCTTCCCCCGCCTCTTCTTCCTCTCACTCACCGTCACCCTCTGCAATCAGTACACTGCCTGGTGGGCCGTGCCCGCGGCGAAGGCTACAGAGGTCGTCATTGTCGAGGCGAACAGCGGAGGCAAGGGCGCGAAACCGAAAACCACCTCGCGTCAGGCCCGACTGGCGCTAAACCAAAGACCTTCAAGGCTATACAAGGCCCCCCCGTCTCCCGCCCAGCCGCCGCTGCGCACCGTCCACCTCAATAACCCCTCGGAGGTCCCGAAGACTATGAGGGCGACAATGCAGCCCTCGACCACAGCCAGCGTCGCTTACACGCCCTACTTCCGCGAACACCACAGGAGTGACGAGAGCAACAGTGAGGGCAACGATGAAGGGGTAGGCAACAAGCTCCAGAAGAAGGGGAGAAAGGTGCGTCCACAACCTCGCTGTGTTGCGCGTACGCTCATTGCTCTATGCAACAGAACCGTGCCTCCGAGTAATACCACACGGCCGACCCTTTCATCGACGACTCTGCGCTCGCGCAAGACGAGCGAACCTTCTTCGCGCATGGGCAGCCCAAGGGGTTCTACGTGTCAAGTGGACAGGTGGTGTTAGTGGATAGTTAGTGAATACGTGCGTGTTTCCCTTCGTCATGTGCTCTTGCGTATGTGGGACGGGTGGCTCGAGAACTTTCATCATTGGTCCTAACCTACTTCATTCAAGTTCCTCCAGTATCGAAGAAACCAACGCGAAAGGTTTTCGTTGCGCCTTCTGTGTCCGTCGTCACCGCGCTGGCCTCCGCTGTATCCCTGGCTACCTGCGCAGAACATGGCAGGGAGCACACACGGACCAGCCCACGTTCGTCACGGCGAGCATGTCCGCGCCAGAGGGTGTCCGCACGCGGTGGTGGCCCGCCGACCTCAGCCGGCCGACGCTGTACAATCTCGCGGTCACGCTTGCGCTGGGCGACAACCTTGGTACCAAATCGTCACGGCGTCGTACACGGTGCGTTCGGTTTTCCGGTGGATCAAGTTGCTCCAGACGCCGTATAGCGACCAGTACGGATGACGTCGCGAACACGGGGATTGGGTGGGGGGATCAGTGGCATCTCGCGGTCAATGGACAGGAGTTCTACGGGCAGGGGACGAACATCCACCCGTTCGTTCCGGACTCATGGGCATCTGAGAACGTGCTGGATAAGGCGAGTACCTTCTATGTTGACAATTGGGGTGATTTGTACGTGTATCAAACTCTGGTAGTCTACTGAGCTATGTAATAGATTGAACTTCCATCTTACAGGCTCATTGAGCCAGAAGCGCGCGTGTCTCTGTGTTCGGCGCTAATATTTCAAAACTTCTCACGCCTTGTTCAACGCTTGCGCGTCGCTCTCGCACTCTTTGCGAAGACTTTGTTTTTACTCTCACTCACTTCACCATCCACCCGTCTACTGCCATGTCTTCTTTGAACTCGCGCCTCCAGTTCGACATATCGACCTTCCTTCCTCCCTTCCGCGAGGTCTGCAAGAACGCCAAGCCGTGTCCCGTACTGCAGAACGGTTGCCTTAACCACCTAACGGTGGTTGAGATATCCAGGACGGGATTAGGGACGTTGTGGAGCCACGTGAGTCCCTAGTAATGCGGTGCTGTCTTGTTGAATGCTGACAGAATCTACTCAGTGCCCAATCCCTCACCAATCCTGCTGTACGTCACTGAGCACGTTGCAGCCGAACGACCGCGACATCGCCGTGGTGCGCCCGTACATCAACAACATACTGCCGGAGGACGCACCGCACCGCTTCTTCTTCGTCGGAGGCATCCAGGCGTGGCACCGGAGTGTTGGATTCCCGCATTGTCTTTACCAGAAGGACAAGCTAGCTGTGGTTGAGGTTTTCTTTTACTTCGAGGTGCGTTTGTTGGTCTCTGCGTGTATTGTTGAAGGGCTCAAAGGGACCGGGCAGAATTTCTATGTCCCGATGATGTTGCCCCTTATGTGCCGCGTGCACGGCGACTCGGAGATAGAGCTTCCGTTCCGCCAGCCCGTCACCGAGCAAGTCATTCCATGCCTGAACCGCTGGAAGCGGGATCCCAACGAGTTCCCGGTACGCTTCGAAATCTACGACGTCGACGAAGAGAGGTTCGTTCCCCTCGCGTCCGTCGACGAACCGATTCGCATCGCCCTACCCCTTCGCCACCTAATCGTCATCAAGTACGAGCATATCCACGGCACTCTCTGGCACCCATCCTGGGCTAAAGGAATGCGGCCTGCAAGTCCTCTGGGCGGCATCCTGGCGGACATGTACCCCTACCGGTTCATCTGGCCGGTGGACCTCCCATATCCTCGCAGCCGCATCAACGCCTTGTCCGTGGTCAGGTTCGATCGGCTCCGCGGAGCTCACGTCTTCACGCCCGCCCAAGGCCATCGGAGGTGCGCGGTGGAGACGATGAATGGTCCGGAGGATGTGGACGAGGAGGCTCAGAGTTCCGATGGTAGGATGGCGACTGACGAGAACTAGGTAGACGTATCGACTAGTTCCCGTTACCATGGCCCTTTTCTGTACCGTCTTTTTGTATTTTTTGGAGAGGGAGCTGGGGATGAAATTTCTGGTCTGTGCTGACAACAAGGACATGGACTCGGACGCGACTTTCTGTGGCAGAAGGAGTTCAGTACCACCCAGTTTGACGTTGCCAGTATAAGTTCTGTCACGCCTGTAACACATGGTACAGTTCATACGGAATAGAAATGGATTTACGGGCCCACAATAGCGAGCCTCAAGCTAAAAAATGTATCCGTAATCCCGCCAGTGGTTGGCCCTCTAAGATGATAATTAAATCAAATGGATGCTATGCCTACCAGAGAAATCAAGTCAAGAGCAAGTGAAGAGACTAACATAATTCCAAATTGACTGCGATTACGGTATACAAAGCGTTGAAATATATCTCAGGTACTTCCAAAGTGTTTGGTCACACTTATACATTACTTTGGGTTACTTTGAAAATCAGGCGCTCTCTTGGGCACATAAAGTGTTTTTCCTGATGTGGGAGCGCGTCGGAGGGAGTCTTCGCCCCGACGAAGGATGCGTAATGGAAAGCGCGAACAAGATGACCACTCGGACGATAGGGAAGGCCATCGGGATGGAGTTCGTGTTCGATGACGAGGTAAAGATCGTCATGAATGTCCAGGTGGTAAGGGACGCTCCTTTCGAGGTGCTCCTGGGCCGGCCCTTCTTCGCCGCGAGCTGTTGCGAGACCCGGGACTTCAAGGACGGAAGCCAGACGGTCGTCCTTACCGATCCGCAGAGCAACCGCCGCGTGATGGTACCGTCCTTCGAGCGCCGCGCGGGGTCGAAGAAGAAGAGTGAGGGACGCCCGGCCGAAGATCCTCCCGCGGAGGATTTTTAGAAGTCGATGATGCAAGCAACGCGAGCGGAGACGATCTTATGGGCCACTATTCAGTATATGTCTGGGACGGAGAGGGTGCGGAAGGAACGGGAGCGCCTACCGACAGGCTTAGCGACTATGGATCGTCGATGGACTCTGCAGATACCCATTTCCCGAGTTGTAACGAATCCTTGGAATTTAGCGACACAATACACGAGACCGTTGCTCAGTATGGGGATGTGGGAGGCAGAGAGACTATCGACGAGACTGAAGGATGTCGAGACAAGCCGGCGGGAGGAGCGCGTGGGGATGGAGAACGATATGATGAGTCAGCGGAGGAGGACTACGAGTCGGCGGAAGAAGACTACGAATCGGCGGATGAGGGACTCGAGTCTGCGGAAGGAGGATATGGTTCAGCGGAGGAGGACTACGAGCCGGCGGAAGAAGACTACGAATCGGCGGGGGAGGATTTCGAGCGGGCGGAGGGAGATCGCAACGCAACGGAAGGAGAGTATGAGTCTGGAGATGGGGCGGAGGAGGAAGACGGATGGGAGGAGGAGGAGGTGTTCAAAGTAGAAACACGGATGGGAATCGAGGTGCTGGCCTACAAGAAGGTGGCTCGGAAGGTACGACCAGTGGCCGCAACGCTCCCCGAGGAGTTTAGGGTGGTGCGAAGGGCGCCGACCGATCCGCTAGCGGGCATGCCCGTTATGCCGATCGTCGCGCCGGAGTTCATTCCGCGCGGAAGGTACACGCAGGAACGGAGGGACGCACTAGACGTAGGACGAAGCGGATTCCTATGGCCGGAGGAGGCGAAGCTGGTGGACTGGCTCGTAGGGATGCACGACAAAGTCTTTGCGTGGGACGAGACGGAGAAGGGGCGGCTGAGGGAAGAGTATTTCGATCCTGTGGTAATCCCAACGGTCGAGCACATTCCGTGGGTACTGAAGAACATCCCGATTCCTCCCGGTATTTACGACGAGGTCGTCCGCATCATCAAGGACAAAATCGCGTCCGGAGTGTACGAGCCATCAAGCTCGTCGTATCGCTCGCGATGGTTCTGCGTGGTCAAGAAGGATGGAAAGTCTCTCCGACTGGTACACGACCTGCAGCCACTAAACACTGTTACGATCAAGGACATCAGCAAATGTGCACGTTGCTTATTCTGGGCTTAAACACCTTAATAAGTCGATCAAGGGCATTCAGTGAATAAGTGATCGTGCTTAATTAACGAGGTACCATTTCTTATTAAGGGGCGTGCTACTTGAACCGTCTTAATCAAGCTCGACTAAGTTGTGTGCTAAGCTGACATTAAGACTTGTAATCGTGGATCAAGTGGCCTTCAAGAACATCGATCTATTCATTCAAATCGTTCCATGGGACACAAATATATTCCGGAAATATGCCAATTCATTCTACAGTGTACGTATGGAATTACAATATACTACTGTATTCGCTGGCGTACACGAGCTGGGCATGGGCACCATACACAGAGCCGATCCGCGAGCAAGTAGGTAGGTCCATGGGCAATCACGTGGGCAGTCGCGTGCGCGAGTGGGCGGCTGGCTGGCCGAACGGGTGCACGGGAGCGCGGGCGAGAGGCGGTGCATGCTAAAGGGGTTGTGGGCGAGAGTGAGTGCAAGTATGTGGACAGGCAAACGGGCGGGTAGGCAGGCGGAAAAGCGGGCAGGCGGGTAAGAGGGCGATGACGAGAGCATGAGGGAGAGCGGGCGAGAAGGCGACGGCAGTGGGCCATTGAGTGCGTGGGCGAGCGAGCTAAGCAAACGAGAAAGCAAGGGTGAGTTGCGGCGCGGGCGACATAGCAAGGAGGGCGAGGGCGAGTGGAGGGCAAGCGAGTGAGCTGTCGACCCTGCAGGACGCCGAGAAAGTGGACAAGCGGACGGACAAAGAGAAGCAGGCGAGCGCGGATGTCGACGTCTCCCCCGTCGACGCTGCGAACCCGGATGCGGTGGGCGTCGTGACGAGCAGCGTGGACGTCGCGGTGAACCAGCCGGTGACGATGGCGGTCGTGAAGGAGACGACGCTCAGCCCGCTGACGTGGCTCCCGAGCCTCGCGTACTTGACGACGTTCGGGTTCGAGCTCGCGGTGGACGCGAACCTCTCGAACGTGCTCTAGCAATTGAGCGAAGGTGGGCAGGCAAGGCAGGCGGGCGGGTGCGAGCTGATGAGAGAGCGAGCTGACGAGAAGGCGAGGGCAGAGAGCTATCGAGAAGGCGAGCGCGGCGAGCTAGTGAGAAGGCGAGCGTGAGCGCGCGAATAGGCAAGAATGGGCAGATGTACAAGAGGGCGAACGGGTAGGCAAGCACAGGCTCCTCCGAGTCAGGCGTTGTGCGTGCGCGCTGTATCATCTAGTGTTCGGTGTTCTCTAGTGACAGGCTCGGCAGGAGACTTGAAGCTTGAAGCTTGAAGCTTTGAAGGGCCATACTCACCTTTGCATCCGTGCAATGACTCGAGCCTGCGGCGCCGCTGCACGCCATGCCGCTCCGTATCTGTGCATTTCACCCTTCTTGCAAGGAGAAATCATGACGTGGTATGCATATGCCGTGCACCAGAATGTTGGACGTTGCGATTGGACTTGCGCGTTGGACGGTCAAACGTTGGGTTGGAGAACGTTGAGCGCTTGAGCATTGCGGGCGACGTGTCATGTCGGAGTCCGATTGGATTTCCGTTTAGGGCAAGCAGCTGTGGCACTTGGGACGGAAACAACTGCGCCATTTTTTAAATTTCATCATCAAGCGTCGTTCAGCTTTGTCCATGAACTGCTCGGAAACATAACTACGAGGCCACCAAGTACTAGACCTCGCTCCTGCCCAGACTCTTGGCGCTCTCACCCGTTACGCCGCACACCCACTCGCGACTTCTCACCTCTTCTCACATCTCGCGGCTGTGGCGACCCGCACTCTGGCCGCGCCGACTCGCACGACGGGGAACAAAGGAGAGGACTGACAAGTAAGGGTGTAGCGAGCACAGAGAGCGAGCAGAAGGCTGGAGATTTGCAGGTATGTATTGAAATGCTCATCTCGTCTCCGAGTCTGCTTCCAGACCCCAGATTCCAGTACCCGAGCTGCCAGCGACGTAACGAATGAGAAAAATGCTGTGCACGCTGCTGGCAGTGAACATGGGGCATCCATTCTACGGCCAAGACGATACGTGCGATACAGCCGTGTAGCTGCGCGTACGACACTCATCTACAGCCGCATGTCACGCAGCGGATACGCTAAGCTGGTTTCCAGGTGAGCATGTTGCCGACGAGTGTCCCTGGTGCGTCTAACATCGTCACAACTTGCGGATGATGAGACCGCGATGCGGTCTACGGGGCACAAGGCAGCACAACGAGCCGAGTCATTGTGCTCGTCATGCGCTCTTCGAACAGTTATAGCGGGGCATCGCGCCTAGGTCGCGGCCCACCTTTTCTACCTGCGACTGCTACCCTGCGTGACGAAATATACAGCGCGCGCCATGAACTGAATTAGATCAGTACCTGCTTGCTCGCCGTTCGCTCACACTCGCCCGCCCACCTGCTCGCTCATTCACGCAAGATCGCCCGTGTACTTGTCCCATACGTTCGCGAATCGCACGTTCAGTGGCTCGCCCATCAACTCGCTCGCTCTCCTCGGGTGAAGATGACTCTACAACAATCAGTACTGGCAGAGAATGCGTGCGCGCTCACAAGATGGGCTTCTCATATTATATGACGTCGACGAGAGACAATGGTAGCATACTACATAGCATAGGGAGTGGCCAGATGTAATGTACCCTCCTTGATGATTCTATATACTATCCGCGGAACTTCGGTGGTCTGTCTCAGCTGCGTCAATAATCATTATCACGGTATGCAGACTTCAAGGATTGCATTTGCCAGAATGTACTTACATACTTAATTGTACGTTGTTCCTTACTCGTGCTTGATATCTGCTTATGTCTATCCTCACTGTTTCGCGCTTGTCTGATCAAGTACGCAAGGAGAGTAAGTGATTATCAAGCAAGAATCTAAGACATGAAGACTCGTAAGGTCCGTCAAGACGTGCTAAGTAACGTGCACATTTGCTGATGGATGCGGCGGTCCCTCCGTTCATCGAGCAGCTGGCGGAATCGTTTGGCGGAAGGGCATGTTACGGGGCCCTGGATTTGTTCGTAGCATTCGATCAGCGGGGGCTGGCGATCCGGTCGAGGGACCTCACAACGTTCCAGTCACCACTGGGGGCCCTGCGATTGACGGCAGTACCGATGGGATATACGAACGCGATGCAGATCGTACACGGGGACGTAACGTTCATCATGCAAGACGAGATTCCAGACGTCACGATACCATTCGCTGATGACGTGAACGCAAAAGGGCCGAAAACTAGGTACGAGCTTCCCGGCGGAGGGTACGAGACCATCGGAGGGAATCCAGGCATAAGGCGATTCGTGTGGGAACACCTGGAGAACATGAACCGCATCCTCCAAAGGATGGGTGCCGTCGGAGGGACGTTCTCGGGAAAGAAGGCACATCTGTGCGTACCGGACGTGGTAGTCCTGGGACATAAGTGCACATACAGCGGAAGGGAGCCTGACGACGCTAGGGTGCAGAAGATCCGGGACTGGCCAGCGTGCAAGACGGTGACGGACGTGCGGGCCTTCCTTGGGACGATGGGGCTGGTTCGGATCTTCATCAAGGACTTCTCAAAGATCGCGAGACCACTCACTAGGTTGACGCGGAGGGAGGTTGACTTCGGATGGGGGGCAGAAGAAGAGCTGGCGATGGAAACACTGAAAGAAGCACTTGTGAACTGCCCTGCGCTCCTTCCGATCGACTATACTACCGACCGAGTAGTGATTCTGGCCGTGGACTCTTCGGTCATCGGCGTCGGGTTTGTCCTACTGCAGCGGGACGTGAAGGGGAGGAAGTGCCCGAGCAGGTTTGGGTCAATAACGTGGAATGAACGGGAGTCGCGCTACTCACAAGCAAAGGTAGAACTATATGGGCTCTTCCGGGCGCTGCGAGCGTCGAGGATACACATTATCGGCGTGCGGAGGCTGGAAGTCGAGGTAGATGCGAAGTACATCAAGGGCATGCTCAACAACCCGGACATTCAGCCGAATGCGGCGATGAACCGGTGGATAGCGGCGATCCTACTCTTCGACTTCAAGCTGGTGCATATTCCCGGAGTGCTTCATTCCGGGGCGGACGGGCTGTCGCGGAGGGAACGAGCGGAAGAAGACCCGGAGGAGGAGGGAGATCCCGAGGAGTGGATCGACGAAGCATGCGCGTTTACGATTGAAACCTGGAACTCTAGCGAGCCGAGCTACCGGCGGAAGGGGCTCCGAGCACGGGAGGAGGCGCGGATCCTCTGCTTAGTGATTGGGGTCGCAGGCCTAGACGCGGAAGAAGTGGAGATTCCGCGGCATGACAAGGCGGATGCGGCGGAAGAGGATCTGGTACGCATTGAGGAGTTCCTGAGGACCGCCGAGAGACCGGAGGAAATGGTGGACGAGGCGGCGTTCAGGAAATTCGTGCGAAAGGCAGGACGGTTCTTCTTACGCGGAGGGAGACTCTGGCGACGGGACCCAGACGGAAAGCATAAGCGAGTGATTCGGAGGGAGCGAAGGTTAGAGCTATTGAGGCAGGCGCACGACGACCTCGGACATAAGGGAGTACTTACGGTGCGGACGAGGCTGCTGGAGCGTTTCTGGTGGCCGTTCCTGGACCAGGACGTACGGTGGTACGTGAGTACTTGCCATGCGTGCCAACTTAGGAGCACGCAACGGCTGAAGATCCCTCCGACGGTGGCGACTCCGCAGGGACTATTCCACAAGGTGTACATGGACACGATGCACATGCCCGCCGCCGGAGGATACAAGATGGTGGTTCAGGGGAGGTGCTCGCTAGGATCGTACCCAGAGTTCCGGAAGCTGCGGAGGGAGACTGGCCCGATACTTGGGGCATGGATATACGAGGATATTCTCTGTCGGTGGGGGCGGTGGCGGAGATAGTAACAGACAATGGTCCTGCGTTCCTTGCGGCGATGGAGTACCTGGCGAAGAAATACGGGATTCGGCATATCAAGATCTCGCCGTATAACTCTAGAGCGAACGGGATCGTCGAGCGGAGGCACTTTGACGTGCGTGAAGCAACGATGAAGCTATGCGGAGGAAACGAGTCGAAGTGGCCGTCAGTAATTGACGCGGTGTTCTGGGCGGAACGGGTATCGATACAGAAAAGTACGGGGATGTCACCTTACAGAATCATGCACGGGGTGGAGCCAATTTTCCCGTTCGACCTAGCGGAGGCAACGTACCTGGTCCCGGCACCGGAGGAGATGCTGACGCAAGAGGAGTTTATCGCGCATCGAGCCCGACAGTTGCTGAAGCGGAGGGAGGATCTCAACGATATACATCGGAAGGTACTTAAGGCGAGGTATAGGTCGGTCAAGGAGTTCATTAAGCGGAACGAACATACTATCAAGGACTACAAGTTCGAACCTGGAGAACTAGTGCTAGTACGGAACTCCCAGATCGAGACGGAACATAGTCGGAAGGCAAAGCAACGGTATCTGGGCCCAATGATCATGGTACGGCGGACGGAGGGAGGATCATACATCCTCGCGGAACTGGACGGGAGTGTGTCTAGGCATAGATACGCTGCATTCCGGGTGATACCCTATCGCGGAAGGGACAAGGCGCGGGTTGAGATTGCGGACTTAGAAGAATGGGAGGAGTACCTACCAGATGAGAACGAAGAGCTTGAAGAGCGGTTTGCCGTGGACGACGAAGAGGAGGAGTCGGACACGGAGGAAGGGGATTGACGGAGAGAAGGGGAGGCGGGGAGTCAAGCGGAGGGGGGAAAGGTGGGGGTGTCGCGCCGGAGGGAGAGCGTGACTGCGGAGGGGCGGAGAGGCATGGGCGGACGAACTGGATGGGGTGGAGCGGATATGCTCAAGGACGTATGAGAGCTGGGTCTCGATGACGTCGAGGGCGGCCTGGACGGAGGAATCGTTTTGGATAGTGTCGAGACGGGAACGGACGTAACCCCGGAAGCCCTCCAGGGCACGAACCTTCTCAGCAAGAGTATCGAGGCGACGATCGACGGTCCCGCGGTCGAAGCCGGCACGGATTTCGAGGCGGCGCTGGGTG